AGGTTTGTTTGTTTGTTTTTAGGAGACAGGGTCTCTCTATGTTGCCCTGGACTTGAACTCCTGGGTTCCAGCAATGCTCCCATCTCAGCCTCCTGAGTAGCTGGGAATACTAGCACGTTCTACCATGCCTAGCTAGAATGGTTTTTTTGTTTGTTTGTTTGTTTTTGTTTTGAGTTGGTGTCTCTCCCTCTGTCGCCCAGACTGGAGTGCAGTGGCATGCTCACAGCCATCGCAGCTTCAACCTGCTGGGCTCAAGTGATTCTTCCGCCTCAGCTTTCCAAGTAGCTGGAATTACAGGCATGTGCCACCATGCCCAGCTAATTTTTTGACTTATTGAAGAGATGAGGTCTCACCAAATTGCCCAGGCTGGTCTCTAACTCGTAGGCTCAGTCAATCCTCTCACCTCGGCCTCCCAAAGTGCTGGGATTATAAGCGTGAGCCACCACATCCAACCTAGAATGATTTTAAGCTGGAAAACATGAATATGAAATAAAAGATCTGAAAGGATACATATCAAGGTGATGCCTGTGGTTCTCTCTGGACAGGATTATGGTGTTTCCTTTCTGCCTATCTACTTTTTCTGTAAATGATCAGTGGTAGATTTTGTCTTAAAATAGTACCAATGATAGCAATAATAATAATAACAGAAAAATTAAACTTTTCTTGGAGAAGGAAAAGAAACAGAATTCAGAATCAAAGCTGGGGTCTACAGACAAGTTAAGGGAGAGCCCAGTTAGTCAGAGACTGTGGGGGGGGGGGCAAAACAGGACATGCCTGCCTACACATCTGGATAAAGAGAAACCAAAACCAGCAGTCCTAGAAATAGTCCTCCTACCCCAAAGTGCATGTGGTCCGCAGCAGCAGTGAAACAAGGACTCCTGTCCTTCCAGCCTAGATTCAGCTCTGAGGCTCTCTCACTGCAGATGCTGAAGCTGGCAGGGAGGCTCCAGAGCACTGCCCCAGCAGTATCTATTTCTCCAGGATGCTGTCTTTCTTGTTGCCCCTGATTCCCAAATCATCCCCAAAACAGAGGGGATGTACTACCCACACCATAGAGAGAGAAAAACAGGATCACAGTCACTCAGCTCCAAAGTGTTGGCTGAGTTCTGAGAACTAGTTATTCTGATCTGGACGGTTTCCTTGTACTTTGTTGGCTTAAAACACCTCCTAATTTGAGGTATGAACCCAGGGAGGCCTGTGACCACAGAGGCCGACACTGTCCCTTATGTATGACCCTAGTGGGCACCACACCTCCTGCATAGTGCAATAAGGTGGCAGGTCTGTCTCAAGAGGCAGCAAGAGCAGAAAGCACCAGGTTTTATCTAAAGTCAGAGGTGTAAGACCAAGTTACGAAAGCAGGCCCACATCAGTTGGTGGATACCATGGAGTGAGCATGGATAATTTTTTTTCTACTTCCTTCTCTAAACACTGCATAATCTAACCTTCACTTTGCTTCTTCTAATGTCTTTTCATCATGGCCTTATCAACTTCTGCATCATACCACCTTAAAAATATTATGCCCATGCTGTGAGCAGTAGCAAGCTGCAGAGAAAGCCATCCAGAAGATAGTCACAGTCTCCACAGATGGATGGCACAAGAGAGTGCGTACTCTCGGCCTGCAGATTACACTGGCCCGGTCAGGGAGAGTGGGAGGGCCTACTCATTCATGCAGTGAGGGAATGGGTTCCACATGTACAGGAGGTAATCACCCAATGGGGAGAGAAGAAGAAGACAACCACATGGTGCTTCCTCCACTCTGAGATGACTATACATCCTACATCTAGTTTGGTGACTACACTGCACAGGCTTCCAGGAATATACTTCCAATGGAAATACCAACTCTAGCCACCTGCACTCCTCAGTCACTGAGTTAGAGCTTCCCTATTCCTAAACTGGGCCTGGAAGCTGTAAAATGTAGCTGTTATAAACACTGGCTCTGGAGTCAGCACTGTCTAGGTTTAAATTCTGCCTTCTGTCCCTACTAGCTATGTGACCTCAACAAATGATTTCACTTCTCTGAGTCCTGGTTTCCTCAGCTATTGTATGCATTAAATGGGATGATTTGATTCCCATAAAATGCTTAGCATAGGGTATGACACAAAGTGAGAGCTCAGTAAACACCAGCTAAAGATAATTCATCATAATATCTGCACATATGCACGCATAATGCTGACAGAACCCAGTCACTATGACAGAATTAGGACCAGAGAGCACCAAGAAGATGGATGTGTTCCGAACTGCATCCTCTCACTCTTCCACAGATGAGTCTCATCATTGGATAGTGAAAGGGCAAAGGGAGAAAACACAGATGCTGAAAATGGGGAAAAGCCAGGCTACAAGAGCCTGGGAGTGTTATTAAAGGTGGGGATTCAGTACACTCCCAAAACATTGGGTGACCAGATCAGCCAACTACAAAAGGATGGGCTATGTGCTATGTGTGCACACATGCATGCATACACTATGGAGAATTTGAAAAGGGCTGGTGAGGGGAGACATGGAAGGAGGAGACAGAGAGACTTCCTGACCTCAAAGCACTCTCCCTTTGCCAGTGCCTCAGCAAATGCTTGTAACAGGAATTTGCACCAGCAAATGCTTGTCTTGGCCAAGCACTTGGCTCCTGCTGAGGCAAAGTTTGAGCACATCCCTCAAGTAAGTGGCCTCCTCAAAGGCTTGACTGGGGAGCCCTCCCCAGGGAGAGAAAGGGCTCCCTGAGAAAAGGTGGAAAGGGGGTGGGGAAATATGCAGGGAAAACACAAGAGGAACCGCAGAGAAACTGGAGAGTCAAGGTTCAAGCCAGACAAAGTCAGCAGGATTGAGAATTGGGGTTACTGAGTAATGTCCTTCACAAAAATCCTTGCCATTAAGACCATCTTAACAAATGGTCCCATTTGTGTCTTCAGAAATAGATTTCCATGAGAAAATGAGTCAATGCAGACTCCTGGAGTCAGGGGCTTGATCAGAGAAAAAAGGAATGCCAAGAAACAGAGCAAATGCTTGTTGCCTTGTGGACCAAGGGGTTAACACAGCACAGGGAGCTGGGAGGTAAGCAGTCAGCAGGTCCTCAGATAATTTCCAGACGCTGGCTGGGCAGGAGACACAGAACAGAGCAGCAGCCATGACAGCGTTTGTCTAGGCAGTGGGGAAGAGGTGCTTTATTGCTAGGGAAGGAGGTGACTGTGACTGAATCAATCAATTAAAATGACCAGACCTAGGCCGGGCACGGTGGCTCACGCCTATAATCCCAGCACTTTGGGAGGCCAAGGTGAGAGGATTGTCTGAGCTCATGGGTTCGAGACCAG